TTTCGACTTTTCCGATAGCAAATCTGATCATAATTTCAAACAATCAGTCAAGTTCCCTGTTCTTGTTCATGCTGATATGATTCTTATAAAACTTCACGGCTCATAATGTGAACATTAATATGAACAGAGGGTTTTAGTTAAATCTAGCCCAAATGATCCGATTCAATTGAAAATATTATTTATAAAAATTCAAATTTGAAATTTTCGACGATTGTGCATCTTCGCTATGCTTTTCGCAGAAAATTTACGACTTTTTCATTTGGCCTTCGTGCAAGTGATCTGAAAATCATACGCTGTGGTAGATCGTTACAGTTTCACCAACAGATCAACTGTGATCAGCGATGAATTTCAACTAGCTGTGCTATTTTGCGCAATCATTTCATCGCATAATTTTTGGCTGATTTTGTCTTGATTTGCAGATTGCAACCTGATGAGAGTTGCCTTATATGCATCTTCAGGAACCGGCTCGTATTCAGCCAGTGCGCTGGAAAATATATCTTTGAAAGGTCAACGGACTAGTGATTCTGAACATGAATCGCTCACAGCTTGTATGAATATGAGTTGTTCGTCATTCTGAGCTTCTGTTTTCTTTCCAGCATTCCCGACGTCACGTTTCACTCGCAATTTTGGATTCGTTCTGTTTTCGTCAGCAACCGGTTTTGTCGTTTCTGGTGCCTTCTTGGGGGTTGGCTTCCAGTCAGCCGGTACATCGTTGCACAACTGAAATTACAAAATCCATCAGTGGAACTAAGTGAATCGGTATTTTTGACTGGAATCGACATTTTTGACTGGAATTTGATGCAACTTAATTCTTTCCTTTATGTACGAAATTGACTGGTTGACAAATGTATTCAGTTTCGTGACGATCAGTCTGATGACTTGTTAATGTGCTCATAATGACAGCTACATTCATGAAACATTCTGCGAGTGCAAGCGACAGAATTGGTTGCAAACAAAAATAATACGGTGTGTAAGACATCAAGCAGGTCGAAGTATTGCAACGCTCATATTTTTTAGAGCTGCTTTCTGTTGCTTCGTAGTGAAACTGAACAACAAAACGAGTTTTCAGCTGATTGATGAATTGAAGAATACTGATATATTGGATTGGATAATTTATATACATTCGTCCATCTTTTGAATAATTGACTATACCTTAACAATATCATTTACGTAATATTTCTTCACAGGTTTCTTGAATTCATCGTATGGGCAGAAATCTGCGTTGCAGTCTGAAATATGACTTCGTGTCGATTGTTCAGTTATTTGAAAGATCAATATTTCAGGACGGAAAATTCCTAGCCGGTGAAAATTGCTTGGAGAGCTACTCTTGTAAACACCAAGGGCCACTCTTGTAAGCGAATCAGGACCATGAGTCGCAGATGCCTTTGAAACTTTCAGATTGATTCACTTGCACGCGTGAATTGCAATTGGTATCCAAGAATATGGATAGTGATCCAGTGCACTGGTATACTTTCATACTGCTGCTAGTTTCAATGAAAAGAAAAAGATGGAGTTTGATCGATGACTAACTTGGAAGAGAACTTGTGACACTCCTGAACTTATCGCCGGGATTATCGCGATATCTTGCCTGAAATTCAATGAAACCTGCGATAAATATATCTGCTCATATAACTGGTAATTTGTGTCACTCTTCAAAAACATTCACAAGTGTGCTAAGTGCTATTTCGATTTTCACTTGCTTACAAACGAAGCGATCAATAGTTGATTAAATGAAATAATCAGGTGAGTTAAGGCAAACTCTAATGGAAAATCCTCCAGCGTCTGTCTTCCATAGCTCGATCACAAATGTAGCTGTGAAACCGGGTAGAGAAACTGGGAGAATCTTGTCTCTTGTTTCCAGCGCCGTTAACAGTGCATCAATTGTTGCCCAATGCTTGAAAATGAAAACATAAAAATCAAAATACTTCAGTTTCTGCAATGAAACAAGAAGGGAGCAAGTGAAAAATAACGATTCTTGATTGAGCAGATAAAAGTCTGGTTAAGGAACGTACCGAGGAGTATGCATAATATTTGAGTTTACTCATCCACGAGCAATCGTTTTTATTGGCGTATGCCGAATCCATGCACCGAATCTACAATTTCAACAAAATATTATAAGTGATGACAGTGGCAGCAAAATGACACAAACAGTGTTAACAATAGTAGAAGAATATACCTTATGATCCATATGATCGATGATATCTTTGATCAACGCACCTGATCGCACACGA